GGGTAAGTTTGCCGCAAGCTTCGCACTATACTGAAAAAGACTTCTTCGATGGGCGATTCGAAAAAAGCCTTTCAATCACCCAAATTCAACCACGCTCTTGTGGGCAACGTTAGGGAAGTGTTGCCTCTTGAGTTGCCCACATGATAGATTCCGTAAATTTCATTTTTTTATTGCCCTTGATTTTTTCTGAATGCTGTAACGACGAATCTTCAAAGAACTTCTGTCACAATAGTGATTTTGATTTGCATTATTGTTGTCCGCACATGTGTATGTATTTCTTCAATGTTCACGACAACCCCATCGCCACATATCAAAACTTCAAATATATCCCAATTCGACTTTTGAACTATACCGCTCCTACCAGTTGTTTTATCCTCATCGCAAGCATTGCCACACTCGTCCCTTCAGCTCGGATAGAGCCCATCCATCCATAATGTATTAATATCATCATTATCGAATCCGTCCGCCTCTCCGAACAACTGCGGAAGCCTTACCCGCACACTATTTTGATCATTATACAACTTCCAAGTTTGTTTTGCTCCGTTTATCTCTCAGCTCAAAACGAGCTCTTTCTTTTAACATGGCGTGCGAAAGCCGTGCGTTTCTTATGAGCTCTTTTCCCCTTGTCCACGTACAAGAAATCAAGCAACTAAACAACGAAGCGACCAACAACATCATGCCCTCAACCAAAGGAACGATCAAATGGTACATGGGCAGTTTTGATGACGATGTTGGTATAAACAACACCCTCTTGCCCTCAAACGAAGCAGTGATGAAACAAATGGTAATGGGCAATTCGATGACGGCAATGGTTCCCTACTCCCAAGCCATGGTCAAAGATGAAAGCTCGGGACGAGCTTTACTATGGAATGGACATGTCGAGACGCAGACTAATTAGATGGTTTGACGTCCCCACGTTAACTGGGCGGTGCCCAGCAACTCCAGATGAGCTGTGCCCAGGGCTCGGCACGAGTTGGCACCAGGAAAATTTCAAACGAAGTCCCGTTTGATCTTGAAGATTTCGTACGAAGTCCCCTTTGACCTGTTTTGAAAACCCGTCATTATTTTTATATTATGTGAAGGTATGTAGCAGAGTTTTCATGCATGCTGATTTCATGAAACAACTTTTCACAGCTTTCTGAGCTTTTTAAGTGGTCGAATCGGGTCTTAAGAAACATAAAAAGCCGACCTCGACTGCGGAGCAGACCGAGTAGTTCAGGTTGCTTTAAAATACTGAAAAGAAAACATTATGAAACTGTTTCTTATTTGTATGTAATCTTTTACAGTATAGATACGTTTCATGTAAAAAAGTATGAAAACTTATGTAAGCAAAGTATCAGCGAAAGCTCAGCTGGCAGCCAGCTCGCACGGTGCAAGTTAATTTGGAAAAAAGTTCAGCACAGCTTTCATTCACATAAGTTTTCATAAATTTTTGGGCCTTTTAGTTCGGGTCCACTAATGCGCATGCACACACAAAATTTGGTGTTATACTATTGCGTTTTGGCTGAAAACAGCACCTTCGTTTGTTGATGGACAGCATGCCGGTGGCATGCCTGCGGCATTTTTGCGGCACTTCTCCGCCTCGGACCCTCGGAAAAACGATATCCCCTTTGCTTTCCGCCCTAAAGCCCGATATCTAGTTTGACCCGGTGCCAGCTGTGTCGAGCCCTGGCTGTGCCTAACCGGTGAATGGCGACTTCCCTTCCCCTCTTTTTACCTGACATACATATAAATAGTTCATATGAAGTAAGACAATCAGGGTGAAGGATTCAAGTCCAAGAGGTGCACCTCTTGGACTTGAAAATAGTCTAAAGCTGCAAAACCTCGGAAGTTTACTGATTTTTAACTATTTGTAAGACCACTTACCGTCCTCAACTGTGCGTGGAGATGATGTGTCCCGAAAACTGTTCAGTATGACATTTGCTTGATATGAAAATTCCGATTGAAAAGAATCCATGTTGAGTCTGTCAATGTTAATTATAATGGCACAAGGAAAGTGAACGATGTCCTATTTCAAATGCTGTTACCAGTCTTCAAACACTGTTGACGCAAAGAAGATAATAAAGTTCACTGGATGAAGGAATTTTTTAAATTGCAGGAAAAAGAGTCAAAGTTTGAGCTCTACAGTTAGAGTCAGTAAGCCCTTATAATGCTGCATCCATAAATACATTTGCGCCCAGAAAGTCGTACTACTTCTGGGGTTCTTAGCAAATTACAGCACAACTTTATTGTATAAAATGAAGAGAATGTGTCAAATGACATTAAGTCATTAAACGATTCTATCATTCTCATGGTTGCACGGTGAATAAGGACACAACGCAAACTCTTGGGTCCAATCTGGCAAGTTTGGCAACGTCTCGCTGGAGGATCCTAACCTTGAGAGATCGGGCTCTGCCTCGCGTTTGCCCGCTCCATTCGAACGAAACTGAGTAATGATCAGAACTGGCCAATCCAAACAATCCGCAATGCTGACTCTAAACATGTTTTCCGTATCTGCTGAACTCCTTTGTAGGCGAACTTATGAGCAGTTTTGTTGTGAGAAAATCGCACCAAGAATTGCGAGATTGAGCACATTACTGCCCCTTTAGCTCACCTTCAGTTATGAGCTAAATGAGTAGCTGCATGTTTTGCCCCAGCATTAAGGCGAACATGGTTCGCACCGCCAAATTGCACTCTGCACGCACAATTTCTTAGCGAAATAATGACCTTTACTGGCTTATAGCTTCTTCCCCAAAAGTGCCTCCCTATAAGAAAACAATTCCAAAGTCAGCGCTTTATGCTGCATCTAACGATAAGTTCAGTCAGATTGGCTACTTAAGCTTCTGTCCAAAGCTTTGTTGAGCGCTCTCGACTGACAGGAGCTTTTATGACGATCACCGTTTTCAATCAGCACTCGGTGTTCGACCGCTTAAGATCTATGTTAAATTTTTGGAGAAAAAGAATTAGGAATGTGAAATGTAAATCAAGCTTGGAAGCCCCGCCCGCTCAAGAAAGCGAACCTCGACTAAATAATACGGTCGATAGCCATCGTCATCTGCGCTATCAAAAGAAAAAGACTCTCAGTCAGAGTGGCCTCAAAATGAGACACTGCTGATTGTCGGACCTCTCTTCGGGAAAAAATCTTGTTCGCTGTCCCAATCACATCATTATCTCACCTGCGAGCTGGAAGGTCTCTCACCACTTTTTGAAGTTTGGTTTGATTGAGCATTCAGTGCTCATAACTCCTAATTCACAGGTCCCTTGCAGAAAAAGAAGACGGATTTGAAATCAGCATCCGATGCCCATTATATGCTACGTCACAAATGGAGGTGCCACTTCAACTAAGGATCGTTTCCCAGAGAGGGATTAACTGTAATTATGTCAGTGGAGGAGCTGAAAATGAAGATACTGGCAATGATCGCTATTCCATAAGCGTGGGCATTTGCGCAAGTACGTAAATTTGAAAAGAGGCATGCCTTTATTGTAAAATTTGTATCTTTAGGTACTAAATTCATCCCAAGCATGGTCACCCGACTTGGAAAGCAGATTCGAGCTTGCGTTTGAAGCGCACCTCATACAAGTCTTCCATTATGTCTGCGATGCGAAATCCTTCACTAGAAGGCATGATCTATGAGCACATACAAAATCACATTTTATGCAGTGGTGGACGCTACTCACTCTGAAAATCACGGCAACTTGCTTCTTCTTGATAAACCTGTCTGAGTTTTGCTATGTTGTGCGCATGCTAGCCTACCATCATTCTTCATGACGGCTTTTCAGTGCTATTGATTTATTTATTCGAACGAACAGAGATAGAGTATTTTGAAAAGCCCACTTAGCTGGACTCTGCTAGTCATTTCTTTTACAAGCATTACATTCTTTGAGTCTCAAAATTTTTGTACGGTCAGATTGTAAGGCGAACACCACATCTGCTATCCTATGCGATGTTGTCTTATTTAAGAGAAGCTTGAAGCTTCCTTTGAACAACTAATGAGGGGCACCAGGGAAGCTGCACTACTGGTATAGTTTGTAGCCCCGAAACGGGATAGTTTAAAAACAGATGCAGTAACTGTCATAAAACCTTTTATCCTGGCAATTATATTCTAACCTCTCATTTGTGTCATTATGATAGCTGCTTTCGTTCAAATCGAAAGTCTCTCTGCTTTTTAAACACTACCTTTATGAATTTTTTATCTCTTACTCATCTTATACGGGTGCCCCAAGAGTAAGTACACAGTTTTGATTTTCATTTAGTCTCTCCCCAGGAAGTTTCTTGCTCATCAACTGTCGTTCAGTAGAACAGACTTCAACTTAGATCTACTGTATGGGATGTTTCAGACTGCCGCACTGACTGCAGCAGACTGCAGCAGACTGCAGCTGACTGCACTGACTGCGGCAGACTGCAGCAGACTGCAGCTGACCGCAATGACCACACTGACCGCACCGGTCCTTTGGTACTATGTTCGTATTTGTTCTAATTCTTCCTATCATTGCATATACCTGTTTTGTAACATTGTAAACCTTGTTGTCTTTTGCTTTTACGTATATTGTTGTCGCTTGTTCAAAGCACAACTGTTTATCCTCTCCGCCTGCAGGCTTCAGCCGCTGCGGTCGTTGCGGTCAGCGGTCAGCTGCAGTCTGCTGCAGTCAGCTGCAGTCAGTGAACAGCTGCAATCTGCTGCAGTCTGCTGCGGTCAGTGCGGCAGTATGAAACAACCCTAAAACAAAAGAAACAAGTAAACAAGAAGAAATCGCTGGAAATGAGCAGGTTCTAATTTCGCAGTTCGTCATCGTGTATAGTGTGCACTGCGCATATTAAGTTGCCAGTGACTTGACGATACAAAATTCAAGGAAAAATAGCTGTGTTGCCACACAGCTAGGTGATAATGTTTAGACACCTACTGCATACAATATTCACTGTAGACTATATACATGTTTTGCGGTAAATAATGAAAGGCACCAAAATTGAAGATTATACACTGATATCCGACAAATTAAGCGCATTTATCCCGAACATCAAGTCACTTCTTCTTCTCGCTCTTCTCCAAGTCCTCCACATCAATATCAAAATTATCGTAACCTTTCTGGTTTTTGGCTAAATTACAACAAGTTGTATTTTTCACCTTGTCGAGGATCTACAAAATAGCACAAAGTTGTTACCCATTTTTTCCGCTTCCATGATTGCTCGTAGTTGAGTAGGAAGTACACCTGCATACTCTGCAAAGAAATGGTAAAAAAAGATTTTAAAACATGAAAAACCGATTTGTAGTCACTTACTTTCCTTGCTGTCGATTTCTGCAAGAACGAGATTAGGAAACAGAAGTCATTTTTTCAATGTCATTCAAGTATTATAACGTGTTCCTAATTTCTGCACCTTATGCGCAGCTAGTAAAGCCGCGTTTGCGCCTGAAGTATCGCGCTTTCGTCATGCAGCAGCCTATACTATGGAGCGTACAAGAAAGCGATTACCAAGTTTAAGAGAGTCTTTGAGCCGATCATGTGAATAAGATCAAATGATTTGGTGTTCCTGACAAAAAAAATAGCTTTATGTAAGTTATATGTGTTATTCTATAGCCAATAACCAAGACGCTAATACGCTTTATTCAGTCAGGCCAACGTTTCGGTGCCTTTACCACCGTCAGCACCTGGAAGATCGCATACATTAGTGGTCTGTTCCCCAAACACCTCCTTCAAGCCAAGGCTACACTCAACATTAAGTTAGTTTAGAACCAGTGACGGAAAGCATCGTCAATGCGTACCTCGGCAATCTTCGAATCAGGGTTGAGCAACCACCAAACACAGCGTCTGCACAGTTAGTAGTGGCGAAACCAGTATAATTGCCTTATATGGATGATTCTAATCTCGGTGTAGATCAAATCCGCAGAGGGACTGATACGAGATCAGATCACTATTCATGGCAACGCCCTCTTCCTTGCGGTTCATTGCTGGAGCTTTGGATGTTATCCAAAATGCTTCAGCGTTTTACGGCTAACAATTTAGGATTCACGCGTCAAGATTGTGACAGCTATATTAAATTGTTGATTTGAGTGTTCCTCTCTGCGATGAGCGCCTAGGGGAGTGTTGGATTTAGATTTTGTAAGCCCATCTAGGTGCTCTTTGATTCTCACACACAGAGGCCTACCAGTTTCTCCTATGTATTGTTTCCCGCAAGTCTGACAAGTTATCTGGTAGACTATTCCTGCCTCCATGCAATCGCCTGGTTGACCAAATGGGCAGACGACGCAATCGACATTCATGCATAATTGATCGTAACAGCAATTACGAATTAGTTGTTTTCTAAGGTTGGAAGGCGGAATGTCTATAATTCTAACGGAGTCTTTTGGGCCTGCATGTTCTAAACTTTTCCTTATCGCTTTGCTGAAATCTTCAGATATGAAAGGAACACGAAAAGGTATTTTGACTTCATTTTTGGTTGCGCGCGGTCTGTATTCTTGCCAGGTACGTTTCGATGAAATTGATTCGATCTGCGGGGTAACCATTAGACTGTGCAATTTGTCTAGCAAGACTCAACGATGTAGCGCGTTCCTGATCAGAGGAGACTGCCTTGGTAGTCTTAAACATATTACAAATTACCGACCTTTTTGTGCTCCAAGGATGGGCCGAGAGATAGTGAACTAATATATTTTTGCTGCTTGATTTTCGGAACCATTTGGTCCTGTATGATCCATCACGCAATTGTACTTGTACGTTAAGAAAAGGCAGCCAGTTTTCGCGGGGCTTTTCTCGTGTGAACTTTATGTGCGGGGATAGGCTGTTCAAGAGATTGAAGCAAGGTCTAGTTCATCTTGCGTTGCGCACACTATACAACAATCATCTATATAGCGGCAATAAAGTGTTGGTTTGCGCGCAAGTACGGGGCTCTCGATTTTTGACATATAGGCAATGGCAACGACAGGTGCCAGCCTCTGCCCCATTGCCAATCCCCTGATTTGTTTATAGTACTGTCTACACCATCAAAAAACGCTGCAGCTAAGACATCCTTTCAAGAGCACCATCACCTGCCGAATATCAAAACCGTACATGTTGATTGAACCGTGGTGTTTGTTCAGTATCTTTTAGACCGCTTCCATGGCCGCTTCATTCGACATATTCGTATATAACGTAGTGACATCGAATGATTCGATGACACATTCTTCACTTAGCGGTGCTTCACTGACTTGTTCAAGGAACATGCTAGTATTTGTTAGGTGCGCAGGAATATATCGAAGCAATTGCGTGAGGATCAAGTTCAGCAGCCAAGATATCCTATCACTGGGACCTCCACAAACCTCCACAACTGCTTACAATAGGCCTTATTTTAAACTCTGCAGGATCCAAGGAAAGGAAATTACTAGCAGTGAGCTTGTGTGTTTTGATAAGCACGTAAAGGACAGGACATCTGGGCAGATCGTTTCTTAGATGTGATATCAACTTTTTCGGTAACCCCACAGAGTTTGCAGTATCTGTCCATAGTCTGTTCAAGCGGCGATACTCTTTTGCAAATTCGTTCTCGGAGGAAGCCTGATACAATGTTTCATCATTCAAGTGATGTTCTGTTATGGCCATATCTAGTTCTCTTGTCAAAACTACGAAATCCCCTCCTTTATCGCTGGATATCTTGATTTTCTTACTCGCACATAATTCATGAAGTTCTCTTAGACCAAGACGCTGGGCTGGTGTTAGATTGAAGACGGGATGTCTTTTTGAGAAGCGTGTTGAAAGTGTGAGAACAGATGCAGCTAGCATACGAAATTTTGCATCTATTACTTGATGGGGACCTTGTGGCTTGAAACTCAGAGATAGGAAAGGATTGAGAGGCAAACGTGTATCGCTGTTGTTTATGCTGCCTTTATGTTCCTCATCGCTTTGTTTTGCCTTTTGTCGCATGCTTCACAAACGATAGTCCCTGTAGTTCAGGACTTACATAAAGCATCGGCTTTATGTAAGTCCTGAACTACAGTAGATCCCAATTTAGGTGGAAATTGGATTGGCGGGGGTCCGCCTCGCAAAGGTCCATACGTTTCGCAGCTACAGTACATCATATCGTGTTATGAACCCATGTTTCATCGTCCTCCTCAGTCTTTTCTTGAAAAAATGCCAGCACTATGCGCTCGCGAAAACTCCAGGTGTGCGGACGCACGCTTCACTTAAAATGGTTCGCCTATTCATTTTAAAACATATTGCAGAATTTTGATTTAGAACCCATCAGTATTCAGATGTCTATGCAAAAGCAGAAGCTGATCCATAAGAGAATTCCTCAAAAATCGCACGTCGAGCGAACTCGCTCGGCCTCCAAGCTTGCAAAATTAAAACCGCGCTACCACTTTTGAAAAGTCATAGATAGTTTGGCAAGTGAATGTGCAAGTCAGGACCTGTAGCCTAAAGAGGTGATTGACAATCTACCTACTTTACAAAAGCAGCCTCAAAAGGATTAATAAGCCAGGTAATAAATAAGCCATAGATAATTCCAGTTTGAACTTGGTTGTTCTTCTGCGGAAAACTTCTCATGCGAGTCACCCATCTCACGTGAAAAAGCTTTCGAAATGAGTAGTTATTGACGATTTAATGATGATTGCGAGGTAAGTTTCAATCTCATTTTATGCAAGATTGAGTACGCATACAAGATGGTAGAATCAGTGAGAACCACTGCGAAGCAGAAATGCTTGCACTGCTTTAGAGTAGAAGCATAGGCTGCTTCCATACTGATTCCAAACTTCGTTCAGTTCGAACGCTGTGCTGGAACTGTTCCCGAACTTTCAGATCATATGAACACAGCCACAAACAGCCGGATTTGGTCATACAAAGATCAATCAGTTTTTTTGCCTTACACTGATGGAATATGCACAAAATATATCCACATTTGTTTCAGCGCAGATTTGTCATGCTTTATTGAAGAATTGCACTTACTTGGCTTCTTTGGTGTTTGTGCTGAAAATCCTCTTTTTACTAATTTAGGTCTGCAGAGACAGCTCACCTGAGCTTTTGGATCTTGAGGAGGATCTTGAAGAGGCAGCGGATTTCAAATCCTTCAAGCCATATGATTTTTTGGCTAATTTGTCAAGGAATTGGTACTCACTTTTTTCTTGTCATGTTTTTTAGAGCATTTTATTGAAAACGTCATAAAAATGAAAATGAGCAAGTGCGAAACGATCTGAGCAATAGGAATATTTACATCATGAACAATGTGATTGAATTAATCACCATGAAGTAGTCCATCCTAGAAAGAAATGAACCAGCTTCCAATGTTTTTATTTACTATCTCATTATCAGCGGTGTAATTGAACCATGCTTTTCATTTCAGCAATCTGCACTTCAAACTATCAGCTTAGGGAAAGATTAAAATTGCATTAATGTTTATCTAACGTCACAAAACTGATATTTCCAAGAAAATGTAAACTGCTTTCTAGCAAAACGCAAAGAATATTTTCCAGAACAAGCTGACTTAGAACGAAGCTTTTATATGACGCGGTGGTCCTGCGTCCTCCTTACTTTTCTATTGTTGATCCTCGCGATCTACTTCTTTAGCAGTGCACGTTTCGAAACGTAAAATCTTATCAACTCGTTGTGCCCGTATACATCAGGTAACGATGTTTGGAACTTATGATGGATCTGTTTTTGGTCTTCGTCCTAGTGCGACTAATCATTCTTACATCTACGTGTTACATGTTCATGACCTTTTCTGCACCTGTACATTGAAATTTTTCAAACTATTACATAAGCCTCCCTTTATGCCCTAAGAAAATCCCGCTGGCATTTTAAGGCGCGCACCTAACAAACTTATGCGTGAATACTCCGTATCTTTCGGGCGTTGTTGTGCTATCACTTATTTCTGTCCTATTCGTGTGGAAGTGGGCCAGAAGAGGAGGAGAGGAGAAAGCGAGGAAGAATCAAAAAACCCGCTAGATAAATGTTAAACGAGAGGCGAGGGGAGTTGAGAACGATGGAGGGAAATTAGAGAAAAGAAAGTAGTGGATTGGTTCAGGATCCAACTAAATCTCATTTGATGCATTCCAGCAAAACTAAACAAAATTTTTCAAAGAATCGCTAAATAAATGGTAAAAGAGTGGTTTGCGCAACCCTACTCTTCACCATTTAAGGTAGGATTGCGCTACAGGCCAGATGCAGATAAAATACACGTGAGGACCTGTAAAAACTTGAAGAAGGTCAACACTAAAAAAATGAATGAGGCCGAAAGTCTGAGAGAATACCAACAATCCAGCAAGTAAGTTTGGCAATTAGAAGAGAAAGAGTCATATAGCTCCACTTATTTTCATCGCAAACAGCGTCTGCACCGCCTGCATTGGCTAATTCAGATCTATTAGATTGGCTCGAAAGTTCTCGGCCTTATTTGAAAGAGCTGCTATTTTTCGAAACTTAATGCATGCACATCCGACTGAGGTTCGATATACATTCAATAGGGCGAAGCAAGCTCTAGAAGATGGTATGCAAAAGCTCGCACCAGTTTCGACACCGCGTAAGTTTGCATCCGGAATCTAAGTCGTACTAGAGGCACGAATGGGAAAAATCCATATCTTCGTTCCAAAAATCTTACGGATCTTCAAATTGCTCATAAAGATTGCACACCACATCAGACGCCCACAGTATCACTGCTGCATTTTTCTACCTCCAAAAATGGAGAAAACGTAAGTTTTCATGTTTATACAAAAACGAAGCTACGTTGTTCCCGCTTATGTATTTATACAGTGCAAGCCTTTAGAAGTATAACCGTAAATTTTCAACGTTTACGGGCCCTAGCCGAAAATTACCGAATTGAACTCTCATCACTAGGGGGTTCCATGCTAAAATCAACATTTCTCGAAAACTAGGACCTTTAGAAAGCTGGAGACTTAAGTTTATAATTCTAAGGGCAATTCTATACAATTGCATGAGTGGGAACAGCGTAGTTTCGTTTTTGTACAAACATGAAAATTTTACCTTTTCTCGATTTCTAGATGAGGAAAAAATACAGCAATGATACATGTGGGTGTCTGACGTGGTGTGCAATCTCTATGGGCAAATTATAGATCCGTACGATCAGGTTGGAAACTAAGTTTTGCAACTGGTCTCATGACATCCCTCTCATTCAACATGGCGCACTCAAATTTTGCCACTGCGTTGGTTATTACGTAAGCTACAAGCGCAGCTGCTGTCCTACCAAATTCTGACGTCGCAGTGAGGGTTACGGTAGGTGCATTGTACGAAGGGGAAAAATTCAAAGTTTGACGGATTTGGCTGAAACTTGGCATAGGGGGTATTATCCGACATGCTGATCACGAAAACGATAGTGAAATTGCGTGATAAGGGTTTTTTGTAGATTACTGTAGAAACCACGATATGGGGTCTCACCCTAAACAAGGAAAGGCGTTGATTCAACGAATGAATGTGATATTCGCATTTGGCAAGGTTCAAATAACCTTACTATGTAAAGTTTCGGCGGGATTTGAGCTTTGGACTCTTTGATCATTGACGATCGTCCCCAGCAGCTCTTGCGTACATCGACTCGTTCGACTTTATAAGGACGCCAAATCTCGACATGCCCCCAAATTTTGTTTCTTTCTTACTAGGCCAAAGGAGTCAATCTCCAGTAATAATTTATGGACGAATCCGGATTACTGCGCATGGTCTAGGCTGCCAAAGGCTTCATTTTATCTGAAACCCCAAAAATTCTCAAATTTCACTAGTTTTCGAGAAACGCCTGAAACTTTTCTATTTCGTGTTCAAAATTTAGACAACTTGTGTTGACTTGTAGCTCTTCTACATAATGCCAAAGTTTGAGTGCACCGTATCCAAAGAGAGTGAAGTTATGAAACCATTTGCAAAATTTAGTTTCCAGTCTAATATTTGAAAGAAAATATGAATTTTTCCTTTTCGAGCTTTCATACGGCTCAATTCGGATGCAAACTTACGCTAGATCTAAGCTGGTGCGAACTTTTGCACACCATCTTGTAAACCTTGCTTTGCTCTACCGAATGATACCTCTGTCGGATGTGGATGCAATAAGTTCCGGGAAATAGCAGATCTCGTCTGAAAATGTCGGAAAACTTTGGAGCCAACCTAATAAATTATATTCGAAATTTATGGTAGATACCACATTTTTACAAATCTTGACGTCGTCAACAATGAGAATCGCCAAGACTTTCGACAAACCAAATCTGTCGAGGACGAAAGGACCTTCATACACGTAGGGTAAAAGGTGCTCGATTTTATTAGAGCAGTGCGTTTTCGAGAAGAATTAATGCGAATTTGAAGGTTGCTGTACTTTCTATGATTGGTAGTCGCCATAACGATAATAATCTCCTTGAACTACACTCCTGTGCAAAAATCTTCTTAAACGATCAGGTAAAATCTTGGCGAATTGAACATTTATGCAACTTATTCTTTTTGGCGCCATTTTCGTAAACTAATCAACTTTGGTCCAATTTTTTGGATTAACGTCCATGGCTTGCATATTAGCTTGTCAAACGTATCCATGACTTCGCAAAAAATGTTGGTACAGGCCCAATTTTGCTGGTCAGAAGCCAAGTGGATCCGTTTGAGGCGCAAATTTCAACGGACCCAACGCTCATGTTTTTGCATGGTGGGCTTTCACGCAGGTAGCGTGCGCTATGCAAAATTTGGGCTTAGAACGTTGGCTGGAACACGCTCTACGAATTTCGTAACGGACAGGCAGACACACGCACACACACACAAAAAACGTAAACACCCTTAGCCCGTTATTATATTTTATTAGATAACACAAACCTCATTTTGCTTGTTACGATGCTTATACACTTAATGCATCGTAAGTTGTTTCAATATTCGTTTCGAACAATATCTTCTCCCTTGAAATGACTAACGCCCATCTACCTAATTTGCTGAGCAAGAGTCAGACGAACACTATGTATTGCAATCGCTTCAGGACAAATACATTATGCCAACATGTTCTTTATTGCGAGAGTACGGTGAAATTCATTGTTCAAGTATAATATCTTAGGTGAGGATAATATTAGTCCGATAATGGTGTTAAGAAACTTCATTCATTGATCAAACATTTTTAGCATTTAAAGCAGTTACTTCATTGAAAATGACTGTAATATTCAAGTCTAAAAACGCTTGTCACATGCAGAAAAGCAAAGCGAATCGTGATAACTAAAGACAAGTGCCTGTGCGACGTTCAAAAAAAGTAAAAAATGCTACCATTTAAACATAAATAAGAAAAAATTTTGATTTTTTACCAAGTTTTCGTCGTTCATTCGTTTTTCTCTCAATGGAGGACGCCGTGCATGGCTAAGGATCGCGTCATAGTTGTTGTTGTTGCATGGCTAAGGATCGCGTATTTGAGATACTTCCGATTTTCGACATCGAGGCAACTTCCATTTTGAGGCTCGTATGGTAAGCGGAAATGCGATTAAAGACTTTATTCTTAATATGAAACAAACGCTTTGATTTTGGAGTTTGTTGTTGGGCGCACAGTTATTCCGTTACATAAAGTCCTTGCAAGTCAGCTTTTATCTTCTCTTTTTTGCTTTGCAGTCCTTCACTGCTTTTGACCATATGACGACTAACAGCGCAAATGACTGAGAGTAGCCCAGTCCCTTGGAATAGCTCTTGGTCGTTACTTAAAAGTGAGGGTCGCGAAGTCAAAGGCCGAATATCACAAAGTGCATACTATTAGTCAGAGCTTCAAACACCCTTTCCAAACTTCTTGTCTTATCTGCAGAGTTCTTTCAGAAAAAAAGTGATGAGCTTCTTAATGTTAGAGTAAAAAATGAAGTGGGGGCTCGGATAATAAATATTACAGCGATTAGACCATTTTTAGTGTTTTTCGGACCTTAGATGCGGTGGCAGGCATCATGCAGTGAATTCATAGAATTCCTGATTAATATATTAGTACTTTTTATCGCTCCATTTGAAATTTAGGGAAGCCTGTAACGATCGTTTTGAAGCATTGCAACGATAGCTCTTATACCGGTGTTTGGTGCACCTTTTCCCCAAAAGTGGTCAGCATATCGAAGGCAGAGTCGGCAGCATTCTAAGCTCTTTTCAATGGTATGTACTTTGTGGTGATTGTGTTTCGACTTGACGACCTCCCTTGTTAGATCTGTAATGTAGCGACTGCGTATGGACTGAAAGTTTCTAGTG